TGGATTTTAAGGTTACATTGTTGTTGAAGGAATACATCGGCACTCGGCCTGTTACTATTTGACATTAGCTAAGTTGAGTTGCTAATGTTAGCAATGTTTGTGTTTCAGGTGATATTTGTAACTTTGCCAGGAATGCTACAGTGCTGCTTCCCTCAACTTTGACACCAAAACGAAAACGTTATACACAGTATGCCAGATTCACTCAGCAGACAAACACAAATATCCCTTGGCAACATATACTGTAGCTAAGCTAACGTCAGCCAGCTAAGCTAACGCTGGATACAAACAGTGACGGTAAAACTTTAAACGCACTAAGCTCAGCTCACTATTTTGTTAGGAGAAATGATCAGATGATGGTCTTTCCTTCTTTTCTCTTTTTTGTCTTATTGCAAGACAAAAAATAATACATTTAACAGAACAACAGACAACAATAATAATGAAAACAGGCCAATTAAAAATATTTAGTCAGCCCCGGCCTTTTGTTCCCCACGCCGCCCCTCCAGAGGGAACCGACAGAGTGCCCTAAATAGAGCTTGAGTCACCATAAAGAGTTCCCATCCACACAATGTTTTGTTGGCAGAGGAGTTTTCGACAGAAAAGAAAATACTAAAAAAAAAGAGAAAAGAATGATGTGTGAGGGGTTGATTATAAAAAACAATTACATAAACAAAAAGAGAACAAAAGCAGAAGATATAATAGTCATGACAAAAAAAGCAAACAAACATATTGTTGATGGGCGGATGGGAGGTTGTCAGATTTGGGGAAGTGGTGAATTAAAAGTTTGTTTTTAACAATATTTTCTAATAATAATTATATCAGTAATAATTATAGTAATAATACTGTAAATATCTACAGTAATTATAACACTGGGGAAAGTATAAAGAGTAAATTGAATATACTATTGTCAGTAGTAATAAACTGAAAAAGATGTACGAGCACAGAAAAAAGGAAAACTAGAACACACACACACACACACACACACACACACACACACACACACACACA